ATCAAAAAATGATACCGAGGCCAACTCCAAGGTAAGTAATGAAACTAGCATTAGCAAAATTAGTGAGGATAATATGTTCGCTTTAATTGAATCGAATTCTCAGATGAAGCCTGGTCCTGAGGCTTTGCCTCTTCCTGCTGTGGCAAGCACTTTGATGTTACCGCTATCAGCATATATTTTTCTTATTTTGTTAATTATCGTGGTTATGTGGTTCGTAATATTGAGACCACATGGGGATTGGAGAGGAAAAGTAATCGATTCCGGGATATGTGGGTTGGATAGCCGGGTATTATAATTGAACTTGGATATTTTTTATGTACGAAAAAATATAATTAATAATGTATAGCGAAGCTAGTATCTAAAGACACATAAGTATCTTAGTGAAGTCTGGCAATTCTAACCAAGAATACTTAACAATATAGAATAGCACAACTAATCAATTCAAGGCTTTAATATATTTTGTAAGCCATTTTTTAGCTTCTTTTTGCGAATATGCGTCAATCTGTTTTTCTTTCTCATCTGAATCTTCGAGTTGCATAATTTTATGTGAAGATGGTGGTTGATATTTCTCATCTTCATTAATAAACCGCGCACATAATCCCAACACACTTTCTAAATAGTAGTTGATATTTATTTCCATATTCTGCTCTTTTGCAAACTCTGGATATTCTATATAATCACTGACTCTATATGGTATTAATCGACTCTTTTCATCGCGATAACGCTCACCTTTTACTACTACATAACTAAAGCGCTCACTAGGATCTGGGATATTTAATTTTTTTTCTTTCATTCGAGCTATAAAATGCTGGACACAAAGATTTTTTTTCTTAGGCTTCCATGTAGCCGTCCCAATAAATTGACTAAAGTCCCATTGCTTATCTTTGGCTTCTCTGAGAGTATCTTTAACAATTTTATGAATTGATCGTGTATTATTTATATCCATAGCTTTCCACATGATTTTTTCTCCGATAAATTTGAAAAGCTGGGACTGGCCTTGCTTTATGCTATCAATCCCTTTTTTAAAAAGATTATCTGGTTTGAAATTGACAACCCCTTCATGTGGTACACCGAAGTATTTTTTCTTACCAGTAAAACAAACAGGAAATAATACCTCTTCGTATGCCATTTTAAGATAAGATGTGCTATTTTTTATCTTCAGATAAGCATTTACTTCATCACGCAATTTTTTCATCACATTCATAGTAATTTTAACCATTTCAGATCAGTATTCCTCCTTGGAAAGGTTTCCTTCGTTAAAAGCTCTATCACATTTTTCATAATATTTATCTGGACAGGTAAGATATAAAGAATCGGTATCTCCGTATTTTATTCCAAAACCTTTCCCAGACACAAACTTAGCAACAAGATCAATATTATACTGACCTGCAGAAGTGATTCCTCCAGCTAATTCACGAAGAAAGAATGGAGATTTGCTGTTTCCTGCTTCTCCGTAAAAAGTATTCATATATACCTTTAAAGCGAACTGCTTGGAATTTAAACAATTATAATCGAAGCATATTGATGAATATTCTGAATTTAAGCTTTCTGGGATTTTTTTACCTTTCTCTTTAACCGAACTTATCATTTTTCCAAGATATTCTTTTTTCTTTCCTAATGAGGCAAGCTGTGCTTTAAGATTTACTCTCTTATTGAATAGATCCTCTAATACAATAGGATATAAACCCTTCTTCTCGAATTGATTATCATGTCTTATACACCAAGTATGGACAATCCGGTTATTAAATGGAAACTCAATCTTATGCAAGTTATTTCTATTTTTTTGTACAATATCGGCCTCTCTATAAGTTAATATCATTTTTTCTGGAGAAAGGTTGTAAGCCATAATAAGACAGGGATATAAAGATGCAAAATCCAATCCTGTAACAGGCCTCTTCGTCTCAATTCCTTTTTTAGATGGAAATACGTATGCACCAGATACTTACCTTTTTCTATATTTTTACACGATCTCGCACTAAATAGTATATTATGTTTAGTGGCATAAGCCCCAAGAAGATTTCGTACCTTTATTCCATTTGCCTGATAATGTGAATCAAACAAAGATACATAGGCTATAGAAACAACCTCCCTATAGTCATTAATTACATTCCGCTTAACCATAAGCTCCTGGCAACGCAATGCATCTATAATACAATAATATGCTACTTTACGCATTTTTTCTATAGTAGAATGCGATTTATTTGAGAAAATACTCTCTCTTGCTTCTGAGTAAATTTTCCACATTTTATTATATGGCATATCCGCTTTACCAGCCAATCCACATATTTTTAAGTAAAATGCAAGTGAACTTTTCCTATCAATCTCTGCATGAGGGTAAAGTTTCTTAAAACATGCACGTATGTTAATTGGTACACATCCTGGTACTTTAAGAAAAGTAGAAATATAATTATCCTCTGGACTAATCTTGATTATAACTGGCTGTACCCTATCGTTTTCCTCCTCACTATTATCAATAGCACCTTTTTTATTTTGAAAACTATTTTTAGATTTTGCCCCTATTTTTCCGTAATAATTCCATTTTAGAATTTCTTCCTTCGATTTAAATCTTCCCGTCATCTGTTGCCACATCCATTCGAGAATATTAAGTCTATAAGCTCTTTCCATAATAAATGGCCAATCATATTCGGAATCGCTAAATCTGAGTTGAATATCAGGGATGAAGGCTTTCCAGCATAATGCGAATGCTTTCAGTAAATTTGTCTAGTTCCCACATACAACTATTATCCATCGTGGGTCTGGTGCAGTTTCAAGATCGACAAGACAGATTTGTTTTAATGGTCTTGGATCATCTTTCCAGTGCAAAGTTATACAAATCATGAATATGATACTTTCTTCATCATGTATTTCAGCAAATTCGCCCAACTCTCGTGATTGTGTCTCTATATCCCATGTAAGGATAAGTGTACGATCTCTCATGAGTGCTGAAATCGGAAAACGGTCACTTATTATTTTTAGATCTTCTACTAGTTGAAAATCGTTTATAGAAACCTGAAAATCGTGTGTATAATGGGAATGTTTTTTGTATCTATACTTACTTATTATAGACCAACCAGAAATTGCGATTCCATTTTCTCTAGCTATTTTACGATGGAATGAAAACATATCATCTGAGGCAGTTTCGAAATTTTTATCTTGAATAGCTTGGAGGGCTTTTTTTCTATCTCCACTACCGAGTGTAAAAATTCGTAAATATGATTTTTTTTCTATATGATAACCTTGTAATGGAAATGCATTAATATGTTCTATTTTATAATTGTTCACAGTATTACAGAGAATTTCATCTATTCTTATTTTAAAGCCATCTACAGATTCATTATCGGGTACAAGTATATCAAAGAAAATCTGGATTTCTGTAAGAGTAACTACCACTTTTTGACCATTGATGAGAGAGCCGTAAAGACGTAAAATATAATGATTATTTTTTCTGATGAACCCTCAAAATCGATAGCCATAAAAGGGATCTCCTCTCGTTTATCCAAAGCATTATTAAGAATTACAGACAAACCCTCATCATTTTCTGCAACTAAATTATCACGAGTTGGTAATCCTGTTAAATAATTTTCACCAAAATATCGCATAAGTTGACCTTTTTCTGAGTTTTTATTTTCTGAAATCTGTGATTGAGGAAAAGCTTTGCCCCCCCGGTGGTAGAAGGCCCCCGTTATTTTCTTCCACTATTTCTGGGCTCTCTGGTCGAGAAGGTGATGCTTCTGACTCCACTGACATGTGATCGTTGTTTTCTATTGTGGAACAGCTCTTAAGAATACTTTTACAGGCATGAGCTTCGTTCTGGAAATATTGAGTACTCATGGTAAATATATTTTTACTGCTAGTATATTATTCCGGAAAAAAAAGTTCAAAATGAAAATTAATTCTAAAGAATAGTTATTAGTAGATA